TGCTCAGGTCCCTTCCGACCCTAGAAACTACGAAACTATCTTTTTTCAACGCTGAAAGACATTTTCTCTAGCCACATTCATAAATGACTGACCTGTTCTAGCTTGCATTTTCCAAAAAACATAGCTCAAGTTAAATGGTTTGCATTAAACATTTCAGCTGGACAATTAAAGTCTGACTAAGCTACATGCAGCTTCAAATAGGATCTTTTAAGGGTGCTTAAAGCTTTCAATTGTTAGGTAGTACTACCAGGCCCACTTGTATATTCAGTACACACATACAAATGGGCATATGTACATACATCTGTATATTACACATCACACAAACAGAACATTCATTGGCACTGACCTTTCAATAGATTATTTTTCAAAAAGCAGCAATCATTTACATGTTAACAAATGCCAAAATATGTGCAATTTAATAGTCTCACTGTGTGATTGTGTAGGATAGTCCTTAGGTGTACGATTATGTATTACTTCTTCCACAGGACCTTTGCCTCATGTAGTGCACAGAATGGGTGGTACTTCTTTAATGACCAACAATTAAATATTTTGTTTTCTCTTTGTTGTCTAATTCCTTCTTTATACCAACTATTCAAAATCTGCTGCAAAGATAGTGACTTGCTCCATTATACTTTTTAAAAAACAAGTATTAATGAATTGATTGGTATAATATTTAACATTCCAAAACACGCCTTTTATGCTACACAACATATTATATATTTTGTTTCTGCCACATCTAGAATAAATAAGTTACAAATATTTGAGAGTTTTAAACATTCTCAGACTTTTTTTTTTTTTTAATATCCTCTGTGACCAAAGGTAGCTATTATTAGTGTAAATCAAGGGTGCACAATCTTTGGCTTGTGAAGCTAAGTCATCTGGCCTGTGGGGCTCCCTCCAGTTCAAAAATTTGGCAGTGAAGCAGTGGCAGCCAACTGCTGCTCCCCTGCTCCCAAGTTTCCAGACCTGCAGGAAGTCCCATAGGATGGAGAGTATGGCATTGCCTGATTGGGAAGCACAGTCTGCTTTGTGCCATTCATCTGGCCCATGGGGCCAAAATTTTGAGCACCACTGGTCTAGATGTACAGGTCTCTGAGGGAACCATAATAGCTACAAACCATGACTGAAATCACATTTTTGGTATAGAAAGTCAGTAACTTAAAAGGCAAGTTTAGTGTTTTCAGAGTTAACACTAAGAGCTTGAAAAAACTGAAACTCCTGTTTTTATATTCCTAAATAACCATGAGATAATTAGCTAAAGTCTGTGAGATTTCAGGAGAGGTGTTACCGATTCAACACCAATTCTTGCCTCTTTGTC